AGGAAGGGGCAAACACTTTTTCACGGCACTATATGTGTGTGTGTGTATGTATGTATCATTTTTATCAAATCATTTTTTCTTATGCTTGAAACGCGATTTACACCTTTACAAAGCTTCTCTTGCGCATGCAAATTTAATTTACGCTTGCAGTCTTATGTACACTTCCACAACTCTTACCCTGCGTATGCAAATCTTTTAGGCATTAAATTACCTTCATACATTTCCCACTATGTTTATAAATGGTCATTCTTTTCCCCTAACCTTATTAAATGTGTCATCTTTGACATCAAATTCTTACTTCGTTTCAATTAATTCAGTTAGAATAATAAGAAACTGAAGAGTTGTTACCATTCAAATGAAATTAGTATTAACAAACTCTCTTACCACTGCTGAGGAAACAGAAGCTGCATCTGAAGTGCCATTAGATGCATTTACACAGTTTGATGAAGCTGAGGTGCCCCTATGCATTTACACTGCAAAATTTCAAATGCATCAATTTTATAAGATTAATGTTTTACATATTTTTTAAACATACAAATAAATGTTGAAAAAATGCAATGATATTTTTAAATGACTAAACCACCAGAAGGTGGTGGCAAATGTCTGTTTTAATGAGCGAGTCATTTATTCATTCATTCAACCGATTCATTCAAACGGCTGATTCATTCAGAAACGAGGCAACCCAGATAACACACATACGGCTGCAAGATGTCTGTTAAAGATCACTTGATCTGGAAAGCATCTGCTGTGTACAAACATCTAATAGACGTCTGTAAGATGTAAATTTTACATACATTCTAAATCATAAACATCTTAAAGACATGTAATAGACATCTATTTGACATCTGATAGAAAACGTATTTATAGGAGTCGTATTGCAGATGAGCAAACACTGTAAAAAATACGTCTTCCAGATGTAAATGCAGACGTCAAATAGACGTCTCCGAGATGTATGTGTGCTATCAGGGAAGTGACTGTCCTTATGAATGGGCCACTGAATCATTGACTCACTCGATTCGTTCAAAAACGTGGATTCATTCAGTAACGAAACCCCGCTGTGTGTTGCTCGGAGACACACAACAGTCCTGCTGTGGCTTTGATCGGAACTATTTTCTTCAGTGAAATTGAGCAAAAACAGTCAATATTTTGTCTAAAATCTAAGTCACTTAATTTTAACTTCTTGTTTATTTAAAGGGGTCATATGATGCTGCTAAAAAGAACACTATTTTGTGTATTTGGTGTAATGAAATGTGTTTATGTGGTTTAAAGTAAAAAAAAAACATTATTTTCCACATACTGTACATTATTATTTCTCCTCTATGCCCCGCCTTTTTGAAACGCGGCGATTTTTACAAAGCTCATCGGTCTGAAAAAGCGAGGTGTGCTGTGATTGGTTGTGTGTGCTGTCTCTCTCACACACTCACTCAGGCTGTGGAAGCCTCATCTGGCACGACATAAATACATTATCAGTCGCAGTTTACACTGAATGCAATTAAAATTAGAATCATTCTCACACGAAACAACATGTTTACACGGGACTGTGCGCGTGGCTGTGACGTCATTGCCGGCACCGCTGGCAAAAGGATCGGCTCAGAATCGGCAAGATGTGAGACTGTCAATCGGTGCATCTCTAATAAATATATATATATATTTACAGATTGGTTCTTAGACAAAATGTGTATTGCTTAGCCTATTAATGTACAAATTAATTCCCCCCAATTTTTTTTTTTTTTTTTTTTTTTTTTTAAAGAACTTGCACCATTCGTTTAGTAGTAACTTGGGGGATGGGTTTGTGCATTTATCACAACACAGACACCAATAATAATAAATATAATAATAAATCATAATAAAACTCATCAACCTCTCACTGTGACGCGGGAGCGACCAGAGGCCCGTTTCAGAAAGGAGGCTAAGTGAAAACTCTTATTGTCCTCTTATTATGAATCCTGTAGATGAGGAGGCTACATTAATTCGTAGGGAGTAACATTTACATCAGGAGAGGATTTTTTTTTTTTTTTTTACCATATCCGCATGCATATTTATTTGAGCGGTACCATTTTTAAATGGTAGTTTTCTATATAACATCAGGGATGCAGAACACATTAGTACGGCCGCTGTTTGCAGAGTGGTAAGGAAAGTGTCTCGCTCTCATGCTCTTTCTTGTAATATTGGTGTCGTTTTCGGAGCACAAACCCATTGAAAATTAAGCTGATTACTGTATGGAATGGAAGGATGCCAGATGGAAGGGTAGCTCGAGATATCTGCCGTAACCACCACCACAGCTGTTACATTTATTTGGTCATCTTTATTTCCTACAAATAAAAAAAGCAACAGTTATTCTTTTTCCTGTTGGATTTTACTATTCTTCAATACTTGGTAGGCTATTGTGGCCATTTCCTCTTCATCTGTTATTCATTATTTTGCAAACCTTCTTGCTGCTGGCTGAGTAGAAGTCAAATGTTAATGTCATTACTCTAATTAAGAAATGCAACAGTGTGGATAAGAGACATTTAATTGTGAAAAGAGCATTAGACTATGTGGGAAAAGCTGCTGCGCACTGAAAGATATTTATTTAATACGTCAAATGCTTGTAAAGTCATGTAGCCTTCATGAACCTTTTATGCTTAAAGCTTTACCTTGATTGCATTATGTTTTTATACTTCATGTTTAGCTGCATTTTTTTTTTCTTTTGCCTGTAGGAATACCATGAAAATTAATATTACTTAAACAATTCTGCCACTTTTTACCTTTGATATTATAACAGTGATTAAGAATTAAAGTTACATATTGACCCGGAAGTATGCGGACGATCTTTTTATCGGGAGCTGTTGCCATGGTGAATCATAATTTCGGAGCGCCATTGATCATGGCTTTTCATAGTCGTGGTGCACGCGCTAAACTCAGAGTCAACCTACTCAGTGGATTGAACTAACTCAATTCAGCTGTTCTGAACCCGATCACTCAAGAGTTTCCAATCTCAGAGTAAGTCACCTCAGAGTTCAAGTTTCAACTCAAGAGCTGGTTGAACCTCCTTATTGAAACGGGCCCCAGGATTCAGCTGGGTCTTAACGCCTTCATCTACCGTTCGCAAAACAAACAATAGTTTGTCCAAAAATCTATTATTTTCAATTCCGAGTTTGTTATTCGTATGGTGGGTGGACATGCGGCGTATGCCTGCGAATACGTGACAAAATTATATCTTAAAAACGGGACGATTCCGTATTATTCGGAATGGTTGGCAACCCTACTGCTAGGGCTAGGCTAAGTGTTTATTTGAGAATAGACGCACAAATAGAGCTGTACCAGATTTAAACAACACATAATGACCCTGTAAAATGTTGGTTTAACGAGCTGTGTTTTTTTTTTATAACTTTAAAAATATACAAATTACCTCACCTCAGAAGACTCAAAGCTGTGTGATGGCGCTAGCGGTGGCTTCTTGTTTTCTTCTTCTTCTTCTTCTTCTTCTTATTCGAGGTTTAACGGCGGCTTGCATCCAAACGCGTTGCATTACCGCCACCTTCTGGATTATTTTCCTGCATCATTACTCCTTCTTCTTATATTTTCACGGCGGTTGTCATCCAGCGTAATAGTGCATTACCGCCATCTTCTGCTCCGGGGTGTGGATCAGAAGCACCATTACTCCGGCTTATTTCCTTCATCATGTTCTCCTCATCAGAACCTTTCTAATTAAGAAATTACAAATATTTCTTCTGCCTTGTCCATTCACACCACTTTGCAGTATATCTTTTATACCTGTCCCTGGCAACCCACCTATTCTTAATTCTTCCATATTTATCTTTTGTTACTCAACGTTTGGGGAACTGTTGGGGAAAACAATTGGTGTGTAACATATCAGATCCGTGCAGTGGCCTTCTGTCTCATTAATGTTAATCTAACAATAAAAGAAAAGATCACTGCACTTGATTTAACTGCTTTTGTAGTTTTAACAATCACTTTATTTATAATGAACACACTGAAGTGATTTTTACATTTGATTATTTGTTTTTCTTACTTGAATGCTTTTTAGATGTAAAATTAAAAAAAAGTAATGCATTAGGCCTATTTCTTTCTTATATTTGTTTTTATAATATTTGTTTTTGAATCTGTTCTTATTATTAATAGCAAACATAAAATAAAAAATGCTAGGTGATTGCTTGGTGATTTTGCTTTGGAACCTTCAGAAAACTGCAACTTGATTTTTCTCAGAACTGACTTTGCTGACTTCAAACGGGTGTAGCTCAGTCATTTTTCATCCAAAAATGTGCTCATTGTGACTCGTTTTGCCAGCACAGTTCAAATATTTTAATTTGTATTTTATCTGTATAACTACCGTTAGTGTTTAGTGTTATCTGTGTGCAACAAGGATCTGAGAGTAACGCAATTTAAATTCTTTGTATGTGCTGTACATGTGGCAGAATTGACAATAAAGCAGACTTTGACTTTGATGCCGGTTCACATTTACAACATGTTTGCTGCGTAAATCAGATGGGCTGTTTGAAAATGCAAATTCAACAGCTGTATATAGCAGTGCAGCGCCCATAAACGCTGCTTTATCAGGCATTACAGGCAAGATTAATTGAAAATGACATCGAACATTTTCTGAAGGCAGACGGTTTCCTTCAGAGGTACGGTGATATAGAAACATCCGCACCGCATTTTGATTTTGAAGCATGCAGTGCTCATGTTTATTCAACAAAGTCAAAGCCTTTTGGAAAATCTATTTGTGGTGGTCAGTTTTGATATTGTGGGGCCGCCACAAATAAATCACTGTATGTGAAACACTGGGTTGCATCCCACAGCATAACAACCTGAGCCCAACTTCATTCTACTCATCACTTTAACTGCGTTTGTAGTTGGCACCACTAGCCAGACTGTTAAACAAACACAGACCAGAAGTTAACTTCGGGCCAGGTGCATGCATTCGATGAAACCATCTACTGATGACTTCTGAGGAGGACAGAAAACCTGAAGAGGACTATAATTCAGTTTACTCAAAGTTTATTAAAAAGACATTTTCGAAAACTGATGAGTTCCTTGTTTTATTTATTAGTTTGAATGGGTATTACTTAACATTTTAACAAATTTCAAAAGCCGAATAACCAATAAATGTACTGATTAATCTGTGAAATAATCAACAATCAATAGAGCAATCATTCTAATAATATCTGATTAATCGATTATCAAAATAATTACTTGATGCAGCCCTACATCTATCACACCTGGAAGTACAGGATCAGTACTTGAACTACTTATTATTTCAGGCAGACATGTAATTTATGAGAGATTAGAGAAGATAATTGAGTGAATCTCTTCCCACATGAATGGCAGTGATACGGCTTCTCTCCAGTGTGGATCCTCTCATGTATTTTGTAGATGTGTTGACCTTTTGAATCTCTTGTCACAGTGTGAACACTTGTAAGGTGTTTCTGTAGTGTGAACTGTCTTGTGCACTTTCAGTTCAGCATCTGTAAAAAAAAAAAGTCTTCCCACACTGAGAGCAAGCATGATCCTTCACTCCGCTGTGTCTTTTCTGGTGTATCTTTAATGCAAACATCTGACTAAAACTGTTTCCACATAAATAACACACATAAGGCTTCTCCTTTGTATGAAATTTCAGGTGGTCTTTCAGTAAATCTACCCTAGCAAATGTTCTACTGCTTTGGTCACAGTTATCTAGTCTTTCTCTTGAATGAGTAACACGGATTTTCATGTGTTTGTTAAGGTTTCCTTTTTGTCTGAAATTCTTCCCACATTGACCGCATGTGACTCCCCAGTGTGGATATTCATGTGTTTGTTAAGGTTTCCACATAAATAACACACATAAGTCTTCTCCTTTGTATGAAATTTCAGGTGGTCTTTCAGTAAATCTACCCTAGCAAATGTTTTACTGCTTTGGTCACAGTTATCTAGTCTTTCTCTTGAATGAGTAACACGGATTTTCATGTGTTTGTTAAGGTTTCCTTTTTGTCTGAAATTCTTCCCACATTGACCGCATGTGACTCCCCAGTGTGGATATTCATGTGTTTGTTAAGGGTAGCTTTTAATCTGAAGCTCTTCCCACATTGACCACATGTGACTCCCCAGTGTGGATATTCATGTGTTTCGTAAGGTTTCCTTTTATTGTGAAAGTCTTTTCACACGGAGCACATGTTTCATCTCTTCTTTTCAATGAAGAACTCCAGGATATTTCTTCAGTTTTTACATGATGGCTCTCCCCCTCTTCAATCAGTTCTTGAATCTCCTTGTTTTCTTTTATAAGGTCTAAAATTAAAGTAAAAAAGTTCATTAAAAAAAGTTTTCAGTAAATCTTGAAAATGTGAAAGGAAAAGGACACGTGAAACCTGAGAAAACAGTAGAAAAGTATAAACACTCCTCTGTCCACCCTCAGCCCTCTTGGCAGGATTTAGATTACATTAAAAAAACATACTTATATTCACTTGTGCAAACCAGTACTTCCCAAATATTGTAACATAAATGGTATTATATTTCTACCTGGATTTAATAAATTCTCAATTGTAAACTCACCCATATTCTCTAATTCGTTCTTTAACTAATTTCTTTCCACAGTATATTTCCTACAGTACATTATAACATGTTCAACCGTTTCATTAACGTCACATACCTCACATAGATCTGTTGGATGTTTGCTTATTAAATGCATTGTAGCTACTGTTCAACCTTGTAATTATGTTCTCCTCAGTTCTGCTCCAACCTGATACTCTTCCCTTACCCACTGCTGACTGTATTTGATAGAAATGTTTACATTTGGTTTATGTGTCCCAATGCTGTTGCCATCATTTCTAAATATTCTGTTTATTGATTTTATTTCTAACCTGCTTCTTTCTAGTTTAAGAGACAGCTACTGCACGTCAGAGAAATGGTCGTGCCGAAAGGTTTCTCATTGGTGAGAGGCCAATCAGCCTTAACCATACATATATGTCATTACTTTAGGCTGAAAGAAGATGGTGTGATGCTGTATATTTATATAGGTGAGGTTAATTATGAAAAAAAAAATTAGGTGTTAAAATTATTCATGCCTGGCTCAAACCTGTACGTCATCTTACACTGCATGCAGTTGCTTAGTGAGAAACATCAACTAAACAACTATACAACACGTATTTGGTGCCCAAAATGAGCATAAAATGTTAAATATTTTGCCTAATTACCGTATTGACCCGAATATAAGATGATGTTTTTTTCTTGGAAATACATCTGAAAAAATGCGGTCGTCTTATATTCAGGGTCTAGACTTACACCCACAACAATAGGTGGCGCCAAATACGCATTAAACGAGTGTGCCATGAAATACGTAATGTAATGCGTGTTGTAAAGATCGCGAGTAAAAACAAAAGAAAAAGAAAACCTTACAGCTGCATGAGTCGTGACTGTCACGTTAGCCTGATGGGACCAAACTCCCTTTGTGATTTTAAAACGTAAGACACTACCCAGATTTGAAGACTACAGTAAGATTTAACTTCTACTGCGGGCCAATACGGTAAATGAAATTAAGTGTAAGTGCGCATGTTGCACACATGTTCCGGCCCCCATGGTCATGGCACGAAAATACTATTAATGCTATTAATAGTACTATTAAAAATCTTTACATTAACTGGCTTTCTATTAGGCCTAATGCATTGCAATGAATAAACAACTGTCTGTGGTCTCCCAGTGGCCACATTATTGGCATTTAGTGTTAAGAGATTAATTTACACACACACACACACACACACACACAAAATATAACACGTATGCCTTCATCTCTGAAAAAATTGTCTTAAATTTTACAATTAACTCAGACAAGCTCGCAAGCCTCAGCGTTCTCAAGATTGCCTGCCACAGTGCTCACAAGGGGATCTAAGTAACAATAGTTTATAGATGAATATTTTAGCCTCCTATGTGTTGTGAAATTCCCATTTATTTTTGTGTTTCAGTTCTGAGCAAAGTTGGTGTATTGATGACTACTGAGAAGGACAGAAAACCTGAAGAGGATAATAATTCAGTTTACTCAAAATATATTAAAAAGACATTTTCAAAAACTGAAGTGATTTCCTTGTTTTATTTATTAGTTACAATGGGTGTAACTCAGCATTTTAACAAACTCCACAAGCCAAATAATTAATAAAGATACTGATTAATCTGTGAAATGATCAACGAATAGTTGATTAATCGTTCTAATAATCTCTGATTAATCGATTAGCAAAATAATTACTTGATGCAGCCCTACCTAGCACCTGGAAGTACAGGATCAGAACTTCATCTACTTACTGTAATTTCAGACATGCAGACATGTAATTTATGACAGATTAAAGAATATAATTGAGTGAATCTCTTCCCACATGAATGGCAGTGATACGGCTTCTCTCCAGTGTGGATCCTCTCATGTATTTGTAGATGTGTTGACCGTTTGAAGCTCTTTTCACAGTGTGAGCACTTGTAAGGTGTTTCTGTAGTGTGAACGGTCTGGTGCTGTTTCACTCCAGTGTGGGTTTTCTTGTGTTTGTAAAGGGTTACTCTTCGTATGAAACTCCTCCCACACTGATCACATGTGTACGGCTTCTCTCCAGTGTGGATCCTCATGTGATCATGAAGGCTTTCTTTTCTTTTGAAATTCTTCCCACACTGATTACATGTATATGGCTTCTCTCCACTGTGGGTTTTCTTGTGTGCAATAAGGTTTCCTCTTTGTGTGAAACTCCTCCCACACTGATCACATGTGTATGGCTTCTCCTTCCCGCACTGATCACATGTGTGTTGCTTCTCTCCAGTGTGTCTTTTCATGTGTTTGATAAGGTTCCTTTTTTGTCTGAAATTTTTTCCACATTGATCACATGTGTGTGGCTTCTCTCCATTGTGGATATCCATGTGTCGATTAAGCATTTCTTTTAGTCTGAAGCTCTTCCCACATTGATCGCATGCATACGGCTTCTCTCCAGTGTGGATCCTCTCATGTATTCTCAGGTAGTCTTTTCGTTTGAAATTCTTCCCACATATATGTAAAAAAAGTCTTCCCACACTTCGAGCAAGCATGAACCTTCACACCGCTGTGTCTTTTCTGGTGTATCTTTAATGCAACCACCTGACTAAAACTCTTTCCACATAAATAACATATGTAAGGCTTCTCCTTCGTATGAGCTTTCAGACGGTCCTTTAGAAATGTTCTACTGCTTTGGTCACAGTTTTCTAGTCTCTCTCTAGAATGAGTAAGCAGATGTTTTTTAAAAACATCACATTTCCTGAAACTCTTCCCACACTGATTACATGCATACGGCTTCTCTCCAGTGTGGATCATCATGTGTTCGTTAAGAGTTTGCTTAAGTCTGAAACTCTTCCCACACTGATTACATGTGTACGGCTTCTCTCCAGTGTGGATCCTCATGTGTACATTAAGGGCTCCTTTTTGTCTGAAACTCTTCCCACACCGATCACATGTGTATGGCTTCTCTCCAGTGTGGGTTTTTAGGTGTGCATCAAGGCATCCTTTATGTATGAAACTCTTCCCACACTGATCACATGTGTACGGCTTCTCTCCATTGTGGGTTTTTAGGTGTGCATCAAGGTATCCTTTTTGTGTGAAACTCTTCCCACACTGATCACATGTGTACGGCTTCTCTCCATTGTGGGTTTTTAGGTGTGCATCAAGGTATCCTTTTTGTGTGAAACTCTTCCCACACTGATCACATGTGTACGGCTTCTCTTCAGTGTGGATTTTCATGTGTTTTGTAAGGTATTTTTTTACTGTGAATGTCTTTTCACACTGATCACATGTGTACGGCTTCTCTCCAGTGTGGATATTCATGTGTTTTGTAACGTTTCCTTTTATTGTGAAAGTCTTTTCACATTGATCACATGTGTACAGCTTCCCTTCAAGATGACATTTTATGTGAATATCAAGATTTTGCTTGCATGAGAGACTCTGTTCACACTCAGGCCATGTTTTGTCTCTTCTTGTCAATGAGGATCTCCAGGGTGTTTCTTCAGTTTTGACATGATGGTTCTCCCCCTCTTTAATCAGTTCTTCAATCTCCTCGTTCTCTTCTATCAAGTCTAAAATTAAAGTAAAAATGTTTAGTAAAAAAAAAGTTTTTTTTTTTAAATGTGAAAGGAAAAAACATGTGCAACTTGAGAAAACAGTAGAAAGTATAAACATTTTGATGCATTCATTTGAATTGGGTACTTTTATTATCCAAGTACTAGTTATAAAACATTACAGGCACAGGTTTTGTAGTGAGAAGTATTACTAAACGTTTAATAAGTACAAGCCAGCTTTTCAAAATTTTTCAAAATTTCAAAAATTGTGAGCCAGATTTAAATAAATATAAAAATGAAACTGTTCAGATAATATTTCTTCATATAAAATTGATATATTTTATAATATTTACTGGTCGTTTTGAGCAGCTCAAAAGGAGGGCCTCATACAGCTTTAAGTACTAGGGGTGTGACGAGATCTCTTGCAGACCTTTCAGACATATTTACATTACACTGGCTTGTTCACCAGTAGTGGTACGTAAGATATTTTATGTTGACCTGCGAATACAATATGCTTAATGTTACCTGCGGTTAACAGGATGCTCCAGTGTTTAACTAATCACCTATCTGAACGATAGGGCTAGTGCTGCTTCCTCAAGAAAGTTTATCATTCTCACATGTTTTAAGCATTGTCAGTTTAAACATTAAAATGTTTTAAGCCATTCAAGCGTGAGACAGCGCGAAAGAGATTTCAGTGCGGTACTTGCGTGCTGTGATACACCATTTCTGTGCGCACGCACGCACGCACGCAAAAACCGCAGCTCAGACAGCATACACTCTAAAAAATGCTGGGTTGTTTTTTCAACCCAAATACTGGGTTGAGACCGCTGGGTAAGGACGTTGAGTTGTTTGGGTTGAAAATTGGCCTTGATCAATAACCCAGCGGTGCTGGGTTGGGAACGCGGACGTGAAAGAGAGCACGCACGTCACGTTAACATCAGACGTATCTCGACGACACCAGTGCGAGAAGCCGCCATTTTCTCAGCGTCTTCAGATGGAAGCGAGTGCGAGTGAAAGACGGTTTATGGTAAGTAAAGATTAAAAATGTAAAGTCATCATTCATTGTTTGAGTCCGGTAGTATCTTGAGATTTCATGGAAGGCGGAAATATTCTGAAAAGGGCTTATATTGAAAAATACGCGGACGCGAATTTCGCCTCAGAAATAGTCTCAAGTCTTGGTCTTAGTCTTTTTTACTCTTTTACTGAATGGAAGAGGTGCTTTTAAAGGGGTCATATGATGCTGCTAAAAAGAACATTATTTTGTGTATTTGGTGTAATGAAATGTGTTTATGTGGTTTAAGGTTAAAAAAACACATTATTTTCCACATACTGTACATTATTGTTTCTCCGCTATGTCCCACCTTTCTGAAACGCGTCGATTTTTACAAAGCTCATCGGTCTGAAAAAGCGAGGTGTGCTCTGATTGGCCAGCTATCCAGTGCGTTGTGATTGGCCGAATTCCTCAAGCGTGTGAAGGAAATGTTATGTCCTTTA